TGGCATATTGAAGGTTGTGAGTACAGTCATGGTGGATCATAAGGCCTTTGAAGAACATAGATTTGGAATAGTGGGTGCATGGTTTGCTTTTATAAAAACACAAATAATGTTTTTAATTTTGCAGATTCTGCATATATGATAGAGTTGAGAGTGAGGATCAATTGTGGTAGGTTTAGGGTCTGTATGAAGTGTAGAGGGTGTAATTTGAGAAGTTAATTAAAATTCTTGTTGTTGTTTAGAGAGAGGTGATTTGGGTAATATTTCTGTAATTTTATTGAAATGTTTCTTAGAGATAATTGCATTTGGGGGGATATCCATTGCTGTAGAGCTCGTAGTTTGTTTGGGTGGTGTAGTATGAGGAATTTGGTAGTGTTAGGATATAAAGTTTGTATAAAATTTGCTGCATAGACAAGTAGATAAAGCAGGTTGAGTTGGCATTTTAAAATAATGATAAAATTTGTTGAGTTCGCAATTAGTAGGATTAATATCTTTGGGTAAGATATATAGAGTGAGTGGGTCAGTTTCTTTTGTTCCAATACCAAAATGATCTGGGTATTAGTTGTAATAATAGTTGAGATTATGAAAATCAGAATCTTGAGTAGTTAGGGTAGGCATTTTGATGAACTAGATAGCGATATTATTAAAGAGAGCATCAAAAATTGGTAAAATTAGTTTTGTATAACATAATACTATAGGTAAAAACTTTTGTAGCTAGGTGCGGTGACCTAGTGAAGTAGTGGGGTTGCTGCACCCCAAGCGGCAGGTCTAGAGTTCGAATCCCAAGCTATTTTACAAAAACATACTTGAAAAATACAATAATATTAATATTGATCACCTTCTACTTAATAACATCCTACTAACAGAATACAATAAAATTTTAAATTAAATACACAATCACTTCTCAGAATACTTTTCTGAAAAACCTCTACATTCAATCCCCTCTGACTTTCAACAACTGTACCAATCACACCCTGAACTCAAATCTAACTACTATAAACTATTTGAAACAATTACAGACCAGAAATGGTCTAAAGTAATTTCCAATCTTCCAAACTAAAAAGCAGCAGGGCTTTCAGAAATCTGCTATAAACATATTAAACATGCTAGTTCTCTAGCACAAAACATTCTTAAATCTTTTATTAACAAATGTCTTCAATTACAGAAAACTCCAACAGAATGGAAATCCTCAAACTTTTTTTTAATTCTAAAAAAAGCTAATTGGGATTTTACACTTAACCAAGTCTGACTTATATCCATTATTGAACTCCTCAAAAAGATCTTTACAAAAATTTTTACTAATCAGTTAGACAAAATAATTTCATCAAATAACCTTCTCTCTAATTTAAACTTTGCAGTATTAAAAAACTCCTCAATACACAATCCAATTCAAATTCTTCATAACACTATTGAACATTATATCTCTCAAAACAAAGAAGCATAGATATTGTTTCAAGACATGTCCAAAGCCTTTGATAGAATTAATATTAAATGGCTACAAGATGCTTGTCATAAAATTAGTATTCTTGCCCTTGGTATAAAACTAATAACTAAACTACACACCTCCCAACTAGCTAAAGTAATTACTGCCTATGGTTTAATATTACCAATCCAAATCAATTCTGGTATCAAACAAGGAGAGATCTACTCTCCTCTTCTATAGAAAATTTACTATAATCCTATCCTTATCTCAAAAATATAATGACCACTTTCTTAAAATCTCATCATCCTCTCCATTTGACATAATTTTAAACATATCCCCAACTACTATTACAATTCCACCACTAGCATATATGGATGATACTGTATGGCATAGTAAACATCCAGAAACCTTACAAAATATTCTCAATGATACCTCTATATTATACAAACTAAACAATATCAAAGTAAATCTAACTAAGTCTAACCTACTTCATATTCTTTCTAAAAACTTCAAAACAACAAATTACACATTTACCTACTCAACCAAATAATTACTTCTAGAAAACCTAAAGATGTAATTAGATATTTAGATATCTCCTATGATGGCAAAGGATCAACCAAACCAACTCTTGATACACTATACAACAAAATAGAAAATTTTTTACTTTTCATTAGATACAAAAAACTTTTACCCTCTCAAATTTCCTTACTTTTCAATCTCATATTACAACCTTCCTTAGAATATCTGCTTCAAATCATTTCTATCCAAAAAAATATACAAACTAAACTCTCCTGACTACTATCTATACAAACAAAAAAAATGCTCTTATTAGCCAAAAATACCAACAATATCTCACTTACCAATCCACTTACCTTCAACTTATCTACTTTTGCTAATATAATTCAAAAAGTTAGCATATCAAATACTGAATATACCTTTAATACCTCTTTACTTCTTTATAACATTGGTATTATTCAAATAAATTCTGGCTAACAAAAATATAGTTCCCAAAACTCACTAAAGAAATACTGCTTATACATTTTTGTAAAACACAAAACTATACTCTTCTTTTTTATCTTGCTCAATTAGCAAGGAACAATATAACAATCTCTTTACTCTTTTTAATTACTAGTTTCCCTACTTTTGTTTCTAAACACACACACTTAATTTACAATATACTTCCTCCAATCTCTAATAATCTTATACTTAACAGTCTCAAAAATAACAGAATTCTATTCATAAAACAAATTACAACAGCAAATAACAATTTTTTACTTCCTTGGAATAATATTTATCTTTGTACAAACAAAGCAACTAGAGAATATCAACCTTCATAGTTTACTCGCCTTCTACAAATAACACAAGCTAACTCTCTTTAAGCTACATAGTCTCAACTTCAACTATATCTAATAAATAGCTTTATTAACATAAATAACCTAATATCTTCTGTAGGCACCAATTTTCCAATTCAACTCTTTTCTAACAATCAAGATATTACTTTCTTATATCACAACAAATATCAAGAAACCTTAAATTATAAAATCTATCAATTAGCAGATCCACTCGAAAGCCATACATACTTAATAGAATTTGTTAACCTATTATTAAGCTCCAAATCTATAAACCTTCTATACAAACAAATCGAGTTTAAAAATTCTTTATTACAAATTGATCACAGAGAAATTCTTGCTATTGTTGATATTTCTAATAATACTTCTAATTTCTCCTCTTTGTCAACTACAAATAAATATTTTTTTTTATAAAACACATTTAATATATTATATTATTGAATCCTCTTACTAACAAAACCAACTTATCTAAATATATAACAATATATTAGATTTAAATTTAACTAACCTTCAATTTGCCACAGATGCCTCTATTCAAAATCTTCAAACTACAAATATACAAACTAGCATAGGATGGATTTGTGAAAATGACCAATCTATTAAGTTCAGTACAGCAATTACTCCTTCACCTAACTTCTCTCGTGCTGAGCTATCAGCAATTATTTCTCTTCTACTTGTTATCTCAATCAATTCAATGGTTACTATCCTTACAAATAGCTCGATTCAATTAAGTTCTTACTTAACTTTCCTACTTCAAAATTTATTCAAGTCAAAAAATGTGATATGATTTCTATAATTAACTTAATCAAATCTACTAAAAATATTTCTATTAATCTTATCAAGTTAAATCACATTCAACTAATTCTCTTTACAATTAAGCTGATTTATTAGCCATACAAAGCATGCCAAACCCCTTTTAACAATCTCCTATGTATACTTTAACCTTCCTATTTACTTTCTTGGAACAATCATATTATTACATTCAAAGCATGCTTTTTTATCAAAAACATTATTACAATCCAAGAACTTATAAGCTGGTTATCCCTTAAACTCTTTAACAACTACATATCAGACCTAAACTGGAATTTAACTTTCAAATTACTTAACTCTCTAGAATATAACTCTCATAAATATTCCTTCTATATTAAAATCTTAACAAATAATCTTCCAACAATGCAAAATCTTAATATTCGCTATCCAAATCTATATACTAAACAAATATTGTAAATGCCCCTAACCGAAGAACCTCTTCATATACTTCTGTGCTCTAAAAATACTGAAAGCATTCAACAATCACTTATTAATATAACTACTAATATACTCCAACAACTCCAAATTACATCTATCCAACCTATTACACTTCTTAATTCTCTTTCACTATCAACAAACAACTCTCCTAATATACAATACAACTCTATTATCCCTACAATTCTTGGAATATATTCTAAAACAATATATCAAAATACTAAAACAATAATTAAAAAACAAACAGAACCTATACTTATCAATCTCTCTAATAATTTTCTATACTTGTTTTACTATAATATATGGTCCAAATGCAACACGTTTTAACACCAATAGGAAATAGCCCAAAACATTACATCTAAAACCAAACACATTAAATTCTCTACACCTCTACTCACTAACCTAACAACTTTCAATAGACCTCTTTTACAACTAATAGATTCATGCAATGCTATCAAAAAATGGTACTTACAAGGTTTTTCTCTAACAACATGCTTCTTATAATGTTATAATTAACACCTTAAGGTTTTCTTCAACCTATCCTAGCTAGAATTACTTTATTCATTTAAATTAATAATAATATTAAATAGGAAATAGGAGGTGTAATATCACATTGAGTGCTTTGTAGCACAAATGTAGTTAGAAATCTTTACCATAGAAAATTTTTTTCTAAAACTATATCTTCTGTTTATTAGCTAGTACTGAGTTAAAAAAATTTGGCAGCCTGATCAGGTGACTTATCTGCTCCTTATCCAAGTCTTTTTAGTAACAGGAGGACCATTAATTTCTAGATTAATATAGGTTTATTGTAATAAAGTTTTTACTATAACATTATATTAATAAAAAAAATAAAAATAAAAAAAATAAAAAATATTTAAAATATTAATTAATTAAATAATATACTATAAATTTTTGCTTTTATTTTATTTTTTTTTTCAATCATATTTTAACAAATACACGTTAGCAAAGCATATCATTACTCTTACTTGTAGACACTTCTGTTGCTACATATGCTGTTGAAGTCATTTTTCCTGAACTTGAAATTGCAATTATCGCATTTGATGTCTTGCTTGTCAAATCTTTAATTATAGATTTTGGTGGCACCATCATAGTACGTGAAGCTCCCTCTCCAATAAAATCAGAATTATTGGCTAAACAATAATTAAAGAAAGTTATTTACAATAAAATATCAAATATTGATTAAATAAATATAAAATCATATTTAAAAAATTACCTAAATCATTTGCATAATTTATGCCCAATACCTCTAAATCGTGTTCATCCTCTCTATTACTAACAATTTCCTCAACAGTTCTTTGCACTTGGTAATTCTCTTGTTCATCAGTCATTAATTTTTGACTATTTTGTTTTTCTCTTGAAAGAGATGCTAATATATTTGAAGCAGAATTTGATTGCACAGTTTTTTGCACTTGGTTACTCTTTTGATTATTCTCTTGATCATCCTCTTGATCATCCTCTTGGCCATCCTCTTGTTTATTTGTTAACTTTTGTTTTTTTTGCACATAGTTATCCTCTTGTTCATTTGTTAATTTTTGAACATTTTGTCATTTTTTTGAAGAGAAAGCTGATGTTTTAGAAGTGAAATCTATATACAAATTAATACAAGAAAGATTATTATAAACTAGCAAATAACTATCTATATATCCATGTTGGCATCTATCTTTGTTTGTAATAATATCTTATCTATAAATAATATACTAATAGTACTTCATGCCCTAGTTTTAATGGGTGTAGTATGAACTTTCTTTTTTGCATACTCTATAAAAGTTTATATCATAAATATCTTGTAAAAAATAATTTATAATATATATTATTTATTTTTTCACTTATGAGTGTTTTTTTTTTGAGAGGCATAGTAATTTGGTGAAAAAAAATTTTTTTATAAAACATTTGTAAAACATATATATAGCTGGATAATGTATTGCCATCATTACTATTATCATGCATTGTTAAATATGTTATATTTCATTATTTCGATTTTACATAATTTGATTTCAACTACATTTACTTTTGATTATATACAATTTTATAAAAATTTCATCAACAATAAACCCTTTTCTAACATTATGAAATGGTCAAAGAGAACTACTTATCCTCATAACTATATAAATATAGCAAAGTTATATACTACAAAGAGATATAAAAAGGAATTATCTGATAGAGTTCAAGATTTCACAAAAAATTAA